AATGCCGAAATAGATGGTAATAGATGAAAGACTGGTTACTATGTATACAGCAATGTCATACTTGGAATCATCTTTTCAAAGTATAGAAATTAATTTTATCTTAATTAAATCAAATTCATTTACATGTCCATGAACCAGAATCATTTGAATTACTATTAGTCTCCTACAATTTATAGTTACAGAAGAGCTGAGTCAAAGCCAATGAAAGGCATAGACCCCTCTGAAACCAGACACTCCTCAGGGTCCAAAAGACAGTACTCAACCTTCTATTGAAAGGGTATCCAATAATCTTTTGCTCATTTCAAAGTCTTCCACTATTTTTCCTAGTGGATACTATGTGCCTAGTATCATGTACCAGATTCTATCCTAAATGTTTAACATTTATCTCATTTAATGCCTGTGATATTGTGATATAATAAGAAATATATATTTGGACTTTGGCTCCTGACACAGAGCCCTGAAAACCCTTGTAATTTCCTGAGTGATAGAGGTAAAAGGAGCATTTATTTTTATTCATAATATGCCCCTTTCAACTTTATCTGAGTTTATGTCAAAGAGGTGACTCTTGGATGGTAGGACCTGTTGCCTGAGAAACCAAGTGACTCGAGGGCTAGAACTTTCAGTCCTACCCCCTGATCTCTAAGGAGGGGAAGGGACTAGAGACTGATCACCAATGCTCAGTGATTTAGTCAGTCATGCCTACATAATGGAACCCCCATAAAAACTCTAAAGAAGGGATTCAGAGAGCTTGTGGGTTGGTGAATGCATCCACGTGCCAGGAGTGTGGCACCACCCGAAACTCCATGAGGATAGAAGCTCCTGAGCCTGGGACTCTTCCAGACCTTGCACTATGTTCCTCTTCATCTGGCTGCTCATTTGTATCCTTTATGGCATTCTTTATAATAAAACAGTAATAGTAAGTAAAGTGTTTCCTTGAGTTCTGTGAGTCATTATAGAAAATTATCAGACCTGAGGAGGGGTCATGGAAACCCCCAATTTGTAGTCAAGTCAGACAGGAGTGTGGGTAACCTGGGGATCCACTACTTGAGACTGGCATCTGAAGTGGGGAGAGGTCTTGTGGGACTGAGCTCTTAACCTGTGAAAACCTGTGATAACCCTGGGGAGTTAGTGCCAGAATTAGCCTAAATTACAGGACCCCCAGTGGGTGTTTTTCAAGAACTGGAGAACAGGGTGGTACGGAAAACCCACACACCTTTGGTGTCAGAAGTGTTGTGAGTAAAGAGGCAGTTTTCCTCTAATATCCAAAATGATACAATGAAGCATTCTATTATATAGGATGTGAAATGGAGGTTTAGAACAAGGAAGTACCTTTCCCAAGGTCAAATGCCTAAAAACCTGGAAAGCCAGGGTTCAAGATTACGTGCTTTTACCCATAACCACTGAACTTGTGGAATAAAGTAATATTTTCATTTCAACAATGAAAAGTAGGTAAATAGACCATGAATCTTGGCAAGACTATTTGACCCCAGTGTGGAAGGACTGCAGCCAACTGATACCTGCTCCTCAGTTAACACGCAATCCAAGGGAAGGATGTTACCAGATGCTTGCTTGCAGCACCAGTGTGGTTCATGAACTTCATCTGGGTGGCACACCAAGATGTACTAGGTAGCTACAAGAAGCTCCTCCACGTATGCAAGCCTCGAAAAGGAGGGCGCCTCTCTGCCAGGGGAGCTGCCAAGTTGATGGAAGGGTTGAATGAGATGCCTGTAGTTGGCATGGAATTCTCCACAAGCTCCAGGCTTGGGCTACAGTGCTGAACACTGACGGAGCCCCAGGAGGCAACTGTGCTGGACTAGGTAATTCTTTGGAAGCCTAAATGGATTCTTTATTATCCACTTATAATTGTAAATGGGAATATTCACCATTTCAGGCAAAGAAAAATAAAGAGCTCTGAATTACAGAAAATAACACTTTAAAAAAGTGTCCAGCTTACCCATGACGTCATTCATGCGATTCAGTGAGGAATTATCTGAAATATCTAATAACATGACAAAATCAAATGCAGAAGGGGGAAGAGGCACTTCTCTGGAAGTTGTAGGGTCAACAGCCAGTGTGGATATTTGTGATTTCTTTCCCTCCAGTTCTATGAGGTTTCTGTTGCAGCCGGTGAGTGCTTCCTCCAGAAGCTTCGCTTGGTTTAATGTCACTGGAAAGCCATCCAGGACCCAGCCTTTATTTATAGGTATCTGACTAAATTAGGAAAGGACAAATCATTAACATTTTGATAGACACAAGTCCTTTAGAAATAATAACACAGTGAATCTTGCCTTTATCTTTCTTTCAATTTCACAGTAACCTCCTTCTGCATGAATTTTCTTTCTTTACAGCCAGAATTAGGTTTCCTAATGTACCACAATCGCTCCCTTGCTCAAAATCCTTCTGTGGGTCCCTGCTGCCCTCCAAATCTATTCTAGAAGCCATAACATGGTATTTAAAATGAACCGGCCACAACTTACTTCCCTATCACTTCTTCTCTCACAATTTTGAACCATTTTGAACCATTCACTTTGAACACACCAATTTCCTCCCTGTTATGTGAGTATAAATTGTACTTCCTAGCTGGGTTCATAGGCTGTTCCTCTTTAAAATCTCAATTTCCTCATCTCTACAGCGGGATAACATAACACACCTCACAAGATGCTGGTGAGGATGAACTGAGATGACACATTTTGAGAACCCAGCACAGAGTGTAGCATATGGTGGATACTCACATTGCCAACCTGGAAATTTCTTCCTACCCCACCCAATCCAGCATGGAGTCATAACAGCCTGATCTGAACTCCTCTGGACCCTCATTCACTTCACCACACAATTTTTAACTCTTATATTTCTTGACAGAAAAATTCAAGTGAGTCTTCTGTATCTCAGTTAGATTATAAGTTGCTAAAGGGTACGGGTCACTTCTTTGTTTTTTGTACTCAGTGCCGCATCCTCTATAGAGAATAGGTGCTCCAAGAATTATTTTAGTTCTTTAAATTGGAAAAAAAACTTCAACTTCTTTAAATTGGAAAAAAACTTCAATTATGTAAGATTACGATTTTGATTTTTGGACAAAAAGTTATGATTTCATTTCTTTCTCTGTTAAAACTCATTTAAACAATTAGAATCCCTTTCTAAAGGCTTGGAAGTCTACTTTGGTGCCTGTATACGATCCTTCTATCAGTGTGGCAAGGAAGAGGGGAGAAAATCAAAGTTCAGAGAGGTTTTATTTACTTGTTCAAAGTCATAAAATTGCAAGTGGCCCCAAATCCAGTGATCTTCCCACAGTATCAAGCTGTCTTCGGGTCACAGATCCTATTACCCCTATTAGGCTATGAAGAGAAAGGAAAGCCTGCCTTTTGCTATTATAGTTTTTCCAGCGTGTGGTAAGCATTCTGCTCAGGAGGAGTTTGTTGATTCATTGGCCTCAGCTAGAGGAGAGAAATTTCTTGAGCACTTTACCAGGGCTGAGGGATCTCTTCTCCCACCTCCAGTCTCAGGAGCTGCTTCGGAGGGAGAAGAAGGCCAGGGCCACACTTGTCACGCTGTAGAGTGAGGCCACCAGACAACAGGGAGTGAGGAGACCTGGGCTTTGGCGCTGGCCGCGCCACTAACCAGATACGTGACTGGATTGCCTAACTGAGCTGCCACGTGCCTTCCTTTCCTCACTGAAAAAGGACGCATTTGGACTAAATGAAAGGATGTCAAACCGATGACAGTTCTCTAACGGTACCTCAGGGGCAGAGGGGATGACGGTAGTGGTGGTGGTGGTGGGAGGGTAGTGGAGTTCTGGGGATGGGGTGGAGACACTCCAACTTCAGTGAAACCACAGCTAAGATCTGCTTTACAGCTGATGCTTTTCATATACAATTTTCTTTGAACAAGGACTCCCATGGCTTATTCCAGTACTGAAAAATGTTGCAACTATTAGAATGAGATCCCTTGCAGCTTTGAGAATAGCATCACTGTAGCCCAGTTTCTTCAGTGTTGCATTCAAAGAGTAATCAGTCCAAGATACATCACAACTGAAAGGCAACTTAAATCTTTAATGAGGTCTCTTAAGAAAACTCTAAAGGGGGAGTCCATTCCAGATGCCTGACAAAACTTCTCCAAAACCTCCTGTTCTCACATCTCTCGGTCTTAACGTTTCTCAGGCAGCAGAGTTACCCCAAACCCCTCACTCACTCGAAGCTCTGCAACACCCTGCAACAGGAGCCTTGTTGATTCCTTTTTCCAGCCTGTTCAGCCTCATTTCTTTATTACACGGATCAACGGAGCACCTATGGCTTCTTTTAATTTCTCTCTTTTCTGTATTGTAAAGGAGGGCTGAGGGGAATCCTCTGTCCTTAGAAAGGAGGAATTACAATATTATAGCCTACTTAAATGTTTTCTTTACCCTTATTGCACATCAGCTCTGTGCTATGCATATATGTGAGTCCTTGCCTGTGCAACCTCTACTTTCTCATGGCCTTCCTACCCAGTCTTTGGGTCGCAGGGGTCACTCCCTCCTCTGGAAACACAAAATGAGGAAGCACACTGGCCCGTGACCACATAGTTAGGGTCTCTCTTCTCCAAATCCCTTGGCTTTCCCAAGTATCTAATTTCTCCTTGAATTCCCCACACAGGATAGAACTTAACCTGAATTCACATCTGGGTGAATGAAGTCAAGGTTGGTAAAGGGTGTGTGTGGGGGGGAGTGAAATATAGACATGTAAATCACAAAATTTATCTTTATCTTGCTGTGTTTTCTTAGGTAAACTCATTAGATGCTGAACATAAAAATATTTCTGTATTGTTCTTTATACAACTCTATTTGATAAAGAACATATTAAATAGATATAAAAGAGAAAAGTGTGATACATACTTAATAGCATTTACCATGATGCTGACTAGCAATGTATCAGATATGCTCTTTCCTTTCTTCAGCAACTTTTCTGATTTTGCACCAAGCTGAGCACGCACAGTGAGCTGTGAAAATAAACAATGGTAGGGGACAGCTAACTTAAAAGTCAGATTCCAAATATTTGGAGGGAAAACAATTTAAATGGTCATGTTCTCTGGTGAAGACACTTGTGATCGTTTAGCACAATTCTGGAATCAGCCAAGCGTTTAAGGAAAATGTATATGCAGATTTCGGGGCTCCTCCTCTGGCTCCCTCCTTTCCAAGATCTTCCTCTCTAATTATCAGCTGCTCTGGCATCCCCAAACTTCACTCTCTAATATCTTAAATCAAAGAGATTAGGGCTTTCTTCTCGAGTTCTAACCACTCACGGCACACAGATGCGGCATGTCCTCTGGGGTAACTTGCACAAGCCTGGCTTTTGCCCACTGAAGTTTTCTTCCGTCAATGGTCAAATCTCATATATTTTCTGCCTGGTTTTTGCTGTTTGCTTTTTTTGCTGCCTGCTTCAGGCCCTCATATAATTAGCTTTTGTATTTTGTCCAGCCTTTATATTGTTATCTGTAGGAAGGCTAGTCTAATTAAGCTGCTTTATATCCACAGGAACATCCCTGGCGCCTATTCTGAAATAGAGTCAGCCACCAGAGTGAGCATTTTATGAGTCAAATGATACTGTCTCTACTGAAAACCCTGCACAGGCTCCTCCTTTACTCCCAATGTCCTCACCGCTGCCTACAAGGCTCTGGCTGGCCTGATTCTTCTCCCTTTCCACTCATCTCTCTAACCTCATCCCTTCTCTTCCCCCACTTTGCTGGCCAACCACCTTTCTGCTCCAAGGCTGTCATCCCGCTATTCTGGCAGCCTGAAATGGTTCCCCAGATCCAGTGGGTGATTCTTTCAATCCGCTTAAATCTCACGCTCTCAAGGTGATCTCCTTACCCTCCTTTTTCTTTTCTGATGGCATCATCACCATCTAATGGTTCATATAATTCACTTATTTGTGTGTTTATGGTTTACTATCTCTTTCCATCGTTTAGAATGTAAACTCCGTAAAGTCCAGGAACCCTGACTTTTTTGATCACTGACATACCCACTCCCCCTTTACAACAATGCATGGAACAAAGTATGCCCTTTGAACTGAATTGAATGTGGAATTTGGGGGATTTGTAACTCAATAAATGTAAATATAAAAATATACTTAGTCTTTCTGCTAATTTACAGTTAAAATATACAGAGTAAAAATTATAAGTCCCCATTTATCACTTTCTCTAAACCCACTTCTCTCCCCATAGGTCATCACATTTACAGGTTGCTGCATATTCTTCCAAAACTTTTTCTATCTTTAAGCAGTTTTGAAATCTAAAATATTATGAAACTGGTTTCCTTGATGAAACAAACAATAAAAGTAATCAAATATACTTCTATTTATTTACTTTCATTTTATTTAATAAAATCCCACTTGATTAATCTGACCATTCTATTTGATGATCAAAAATGTTTCCAATATACAGTAAAGCAATACTATATATAGAAATATTAGTTTGCATTAGAAGCAATAGCCTGTAGATTGTTGTAAACATTTTTTCAGGGATGAATAAAAAATTCTGCAGAGTCAACAGTAAGTCTAAGGATAAATTCTGGAAAAAAAAAAACCTTTAAAGGTAAAGAAATTGTGAGAGGAAATAAAAGTCAAAAATTAAGAGGTAAGGAAAAATACATAAATATAAATTTGGCATAAGTCTAAAATTTTTAAGAGCATGTGTTTACTTTCTTACCTGGCAAAACTGAAAGCAATTTCCACTGCTTTAGATTCAAAGAGTATTAAGAATATAAAAAATATCAAGTAGATTCAGGTTTAGCTAATTTCACCATCAGATTTATTTTAAACCAAAGAGGAGCACATTGCTATTTCATTTCATTTGAAGATGAAAATGCTGTGAAAAGGCTATGAATCAAAACACATTTCAATACACTAGTAGCCAAAGTTAGGTCATAGTACTTACTTCAGAGAAACTATCACTTGCTACGACTTCTTCAGCTTTTGGTGTTTTTCTAGTATTGGTACCTAGCAATAGAAAAAGTGGTAAGAACATACTCCGGTACTTACAGCTAACAACCATGTTAACATTTGACCGTCTGTGGCTTTGGACACGTGGGTGATTGGATTCAGCTATGCCTGAGACACTCAGAGGAAAGAAGTAAAAGCATCAGCACAGCATGGCGTTTACCTTCATTCCACAACACTAAGTCCCGGCCACTGTGTACTTCCTTCCAGTATGGCTCACTCAGAACAATGTCACTATGAATACTTGAACATAGTTTGGGTTCTCCTTTTGGAAAACAAGCTAAGATCTCAAGAGAAGTCATTAAGATGTTAATTTGTTACATTTTTACTTTCCTGGATTATCAAGTTATAGGTAACAAACACTTCTGAAAGTGGAAAACTCTAGAAGTCAGAGGGTTTTTTAGTTAAATTCCGTGGAAAAAATAAGTTTTCAGAGTCTGTTTATAATTTACTGGACTTCTGTAATAGAATATGTCACAAAATATACTTATGATAGTTTAAAAAGTCAATTATCTCATAAGAAACAAATAACTGAAACAAGGGACAGGTTATGTTCTTTTAAAGGATGGGAAACTTGACTGCTCTGGAGGAGTTGCCTGCTCATAATAAATGTACACATTGTCCAAGGGTGATAGCAAGAATGGTTATGACACAGAAGGAACCGATTTTGTGCTAGAATATCAGGCAACGATTGAATATGGCAAAGCCTTACTAGCACAAATAGAAAAGATATTTAAGATTTAAAATTGTTTTCCTTCAGTGGTTCTACCAAGGATCTGAAGGATTAAAGCCCAGATCCCAAGGGAGGTAACTTTTCGTTGGGTTTGGGAAGCTTGGTTCTATTTGCTTTGCCCAAGGCTGGGAATAAACTTAGCTTTATCTAAGGAACCATTGCTCAGGTGGATGGAAGAGACAGAGCCGCAGCCTTCCTCATCACAGTGAACAAAGCAGCAGCATGCAGAGAGCACAGCAGTACTCCCCCCAGCTGCATGGGTGAGAAGAAACCATAAACTACTGTTTCCCTGCAAAGCCAGGAAGAGTGACGATGATTTAGCCTGACTGTTTTCAAAACCACAGCAAAACTGAGCAACTACTTGAAGGGGTGTGAGAAGATTCCTTTGAAATCGTCGTCTCTTATCCCCAGTTGTAGACAGTGGTTAGGGACGTCTGGGTTTATCTTGCTGTTTCTGTCACATGACCATGTAGACAGCCATGCATCCCTCCCCCTCTCCCCTTTCTTTCCCTGAAAGCTGGTTTGTGCTCACATCCGTGTGCTCTTACTGTTTGTCAATCTGTCTCTCTCATGAAAATGATGGATGATTTGTTTCGATATCTTACTTACTAAGTCTGCTTTTATCTTCTGTTTCTGGTAATGCTTCAGCTGAAAATACATTTTGCAGATCCTTTGGGGAGGAAACACATGCGAGCACACATGGAGAGATTTTAACATTGTCATATTTTAATAACATTCTTAATTTTACGTCTATAAGTAGGGTTTAAAAACATAGACTATTTTATCTAAAACATTAATGATATTAAGAAGAGCTCAGTGAGTTCTGGAAGCAAACAAAATTTGATAATTGTACTTATAGAAACACACAGTAACCCATGGTATAATCTGTCTTTCAATTTCTATGTAAAATAAAGCAACTGCCATTTTGAAAGTATAATGGGAGCTGAGAAAGACGTAGAGTTTGTGGAAAACCACCTTAGAAAGAACAATCTGAGAGGTGTCAGTCATAGCCAAAAGGGAAATAAGGGAAAAACATGTACATTATCTATCACTGTATTGATTAGAATACAGAGTACCACAACAGAGAAGGGGCAGCCCACCGCGAAGAAAAACTCTCCCGGTTATTTCCAGAATCACATTTAAAGGGTATTTATTTTGCAGCTCATGCAAATGACCTGGATTAGATTCTCTGCTAATTTATTCAATTTCAGAAACAGGATGAGGCAGGGATAAGAGTACTGGATTTAGAATCTGGGATTCCAATCACAGCCTAGCCGTCAACAAGCCTCTGACCCCAAGCAAATCAACTCATGCTTAGGGTCTCTACTGTCTTCCTTTAAAATGAGCAGGTTGGACCACACCATGATTTTCGGGGGTCGGGGGGGGGCACATTCTCCTAATTCCTGCCCTAGTATCTTTATGTAATAATGTAGCAAGATGCAACACTGATGGAAACGGTAATGCAGGTAAACCGTAAGAGACCTTCCCCTACCAGCCACCCCTCAAAACTGAGATCTACTAGTCTAGATCAGAGGTCTGCAAACTATGGTCCCTGGACCAAAATTGACTGGCTGTTTTTACACCCTCGCCCTCTGTCTGCTCCTCTCCAGCACCCTCCTTGGCTGCTGCCCAGGACTGGCATCAGGCTGCATCTATGAGATGAGGACTTGCCGTTGGCCACTGTCAGGCTCTAGGGAGTGGAATTCCATTCTGAGAGCTGGTGACGTGGTGAACTCATCCAAAACACTCATACCTCACCCCTCTCCAAGCCCTCACAATTGGGCCCCTCCACCCCTTTAGCAGCTTTACCAGCTGGTGGCTCTTTCCTCAAGAGAATGTCTCCAGCTGATGGTAACTGGGCACAAAGCCAGCCCACCACCCTGGATGGCCCACCTAGGCAAACTTATGTGTGTGTATGTATGTGGGGAGTGGAGAGGGGGGGTTGAAATTTTCTCTCGTTATATAAGTACCTATGTAATATCCTCGATATCGCTTCTGGGACCATAAAACTTAAAATATTTACCCTCTGGACCTTTACAGAAAAGTCTGACAACCTCTGGTCTAGAGGATCTCTTTAGATGCCATCCAGTTGGAAATCTCTAATGTACAAGGTGGGGAAAAGAAAACTGAAATCTCACTTGCCTGGTTTTCTTTACTACTCTCTTGCCTAACTGGTAGAGCCTTTTCTTCGGCTGCTTTCTGAAGGACTCCGCTGATCTTCTCATTGTTGTGAAATGCTTGGATCGCTTCTTGGACGAGAGTGTCAATAGAAAGTACCTGAATAGGAAAGCCTAAAATACAAAAGAAAATTTTATTAATAACTTTTCATTTAGGAAATTGACATCACTGTTCTTCTGTGCTGGCTTCATCCTTAGAGTGCACTGTTCAGGGTGCCCCAGCAATGTTTTTTGGATCAAGCTGGATTTTTTACTATGGCGGTAAAATTCACATAACATAAAATGAACCATTTTAACCATTCTAAAAGATGCAATTCGGTGATATTTAGGTCATTACAGTGTTGTCCAATCATCACCACTACCTTTTTCCAGAAAATTTTCATTACCCCAAAGGAAACCCTGTATCCGTTAAGCAGTCACTCCCTATCTCCCTACCTTTGCCCCCAACAACTAATTTGCTTTTTGTCTATGGATTGGCCTATTCTAGATGTTTCTTATCCATGGAATCATACAATATGTGGTCTTTTGTGTTCAACCTCTTTCACTTAGTATAATGTTTTCAAAGTCTACCCATAGCACATAGAGTACTTCACTCCTTTTATGGCTGAATAATATTCCATTGTATGGATATATCACATCTTGTTATCAGTTCAGCA